TTCTAGGAATACACAGTGATAGGTACATGCAACTAACTGTCTTTACCTCATCCTTCCAGAAGTCAATACCCCTGCCACAAGGGGTATACCTGGGGCACCTCACTTATACCAGTCTAGAAGAAAAAGTGTACCTCCTGTCCAGACAAACTCAGTCTCACAGCCTCAGATGTTGTTACACCTGGCCTGGCTGTGACCCTTTCAATGGAAAACTCATTATGTCAGACTACAGTGCCAGGATGGATCCTCCACACCCTCCAAGAGCCACCACACCAGGAGACCAGCAGACACCTACCTTAAACTTAGGGACTGGGAGGGAAAAATCTCTGTTTTTAGACCTGACATGGCAACGGGGGTCTTGGAGGTCTTCGACTGGTATATACTTTGAGTCCTAGGAAGGAAAGCAGAGACAGAAAGCAAGCTCAGGGTGAAACCAGGTTGTTGAGTTCTAAGAAACCCATTTAGAGACCCACATGCACAAGATCTGGGGTCAATTGCCCATTTCTGAGAAGGCAGGCTATGGGTGTGTGAGTTTTAAGTGTTGAACAGAGTAACAGACAACAGAGGGGCCTGGAGTTCCCTAGATGTCAAGCAAAGGTCTGGGACACTCACGTTGACACTGAAGTGGACTCCATCGTAGCGGTAAACCTTCTGAGAAGGCCTGCGCAGGGCAGGGTCCAAGGCAGGATCCACGATGAGCTTGTAGTTCCGCCACTGGAAGCTCGGGGCCTTCTGCCCATCTCCCCCACCTTCCTGATCCATCTTTGCTCATTTACACTGTTAGGAAAAGAGGGACAGGCAAGGGGGCTCAGGACTTAGGCCTGACTCCCTTGCTGTCCCTCATTGGCTAGCCCAGATTCCAGGTTCTCTCATCACTCCAGTTTCCACACCTCACCATGACCCGTGGCTCCCCAAAATTTTGCCCCAAGTGCTCTCTGTTTCACCACAACAACCCATTCTCTCTCCACCTCCCCAACTCTCCCCTCAGGCCCCCAGGCCATCTCGCGCCCCCTTACCTTCCCGCTCTCCCTAGCGCGCGCCCCACTTGGCCTCCGCGCAAGACCCCTCCCCCGCCCCCTGGCAGGCCCCGCCCCCTCCCGCCTCCTCACCGGCCAGCGGCCCGGGCCAAGCCCGGCTCTCGCTCCCACACACCCGCGCCAGTCCCCGCGCCCCGATCCTTCGGCCTAAAGGTGGCACCTCTTCGGGGCGTTGGAAACACCGCGAGACCCAGCCCGAGACCCGGGTTCGGCCCCGAATCCGGGCGGGGGGGTGGGTGAACGCGCGCCGCTGCCCTCTTCTCCCGCCCCGGCGATCTGCCCCCCCCATCTCCGCGCACGCGCGCCGCAACCCCACTCACCCGCTCGTGGCGAGCGGCTCCCCCTCCCCCCACCCCGCGCGGCACCTCAGCGGCGCGAGGCGGCGGCGGCGGCAGCGCGAGACCCGGCCCCGCAGCGGTGGCGGCGGCGGCGCCCCCCCACCACCACCTCCCCGGCGCGCGCACCAAACACCACCGCCACCTGCGCGAGGCCTAGCGGGCACAGCGTCTGCATTCGCACTTTCGCCACCGGCGCCGCCGGGAGAACCACGGGGCCGAGGGTAGCGGCCTCGCCTCGGCCGGCGTCCTGTAAGGCTCGAGAGTTGCGGCCCAGGGAGCCTGTAGATTGGCCGCATCCCCCGGAGAGTGGGCTTCACCACCACGATCCAGCTGCTCTGGCCTAGGGTTCGTGACGAATCGGCGGCGACGAAAGCTGCGCCTAGTCCCTGAGGAAAGGGAGGCGGGGCGAAGGGGAGGAGGCCAGCCAGAGCTGGGGAGGTTTGAGTGGCGCGTTGAGCAGACGCAGATTCGGCAAGCGGGCGGGGCGAATCGGTGAACAGGATGCGCGCTCCTTTGCTCCTCTTCCCTGCCCCTTCCTTGCGCGGCCAAAGGTCTAAAAGGTTGCAGACTCGTTAGTTCCTGGCCTCAGCCGTTGCTTCTCTTCATCCGCCTTGATGAAGTCAAGGAAACAACGCCCGGTTAGGCAAGCCCTGTTGGCAGAGTCAGCCACTCTTTCTGGATTTTTTTCTTAGTAGCACAACTCAGGGGACAGCCCACTTCTGACCCGGGGGAATAGCTACAGCCTAAACCTCCTCTTGGAGTCCGATGAGAATTTTCAGCCGAGTATGGAGGGGCCCGAGTAATTCTGAGGAAGAGCTGGGCTGGCGAATCTGCGGCTCCCGCTGTGGGCGGGGCCAAGGCGCTGTGCGCAGAGGGGCGTGGTCAGAGCGTGCGGAGTCGGGAGACGCGGGGGCTCCTCCTGCAGGACCCACCGAAACCGGGGTGGGATGGGAGGGGCTACCGGGAGGTGGAAAAATACTACCAGGAATGGTGACTCAGGCAGTTTACCCGGCCTAGCACATAGCGCAAGAAGCATTTTCTTCCCGTTATCCCCATTGGGCCTCTAGCTGTTTAAGATGCCCATTTGACAGATCTGGAGACTGAGGCCTTTAGAAGGTGCTCCATTTTGCTGTACTGAGCCCACCATTAGAGGTTAAATCCGGGCCTGTCTCAAGGTTCTCTAATAAGCCTAGTGGGGACTACAGGCCCTTTAAAGGCGTCCTGTAAAAAATAAACTGGGGCCTACAGGAACTGGAGTGGGCTGGTCTATTCCCCAGGCATCATGGTCCCAGTGCCTGCTCTTTTCAGCTGGGGCTCCGTGTGCTCATGGGATCCTGCAGCACAAGGACAGCACCAGTCCAGGCCTGCATCCGGAACCTTGGGGCTGAGGTCGCCCAAAGGCTGGGCACGCTTTTTATTCTGTATGGACGTAGACACCCTGGTTTCTTGGGGGGGAACAGCACTCCCACAGGCCCCTGAGCTGAGGATGGCCTAGGCTCCAGGCAGTCCCTGGTTGTATGACCTTGGACTTAAGTTCCCGGTTCTTGCTCTAAAAATGGATGTTAATTTGTAGACATCAGAACAGTGCAGGAGAGGCCCTTTATTTATTTATTTATTTATTTATTTTTGAGACAGAGTCTCACTGTGTTGCCTGGGCTGGAGTGCCCTGGCATCAGCCTGGCTCACAGCAACCTCAAACTCCTGGGCTCAAGCGATCCTCCGGCCTCAGCCTCCCGAGTAGCTGGGACTACAGGCATGCACCACCATGCCCAGCTAATTTTTTCTCTATATATATTTTTAGTTGGCCAATTAATTTCTTTCTATTTTTAGTAGAGACAGGGTCTCGCACAGGCTGGTTTTGAACTCCTGACCTTGAGCAATCCTCCCACCTGGGCCTCCCAGAGTGCTAGGATTACAGGTGTGAGCTGCCACGCCCAGTACAAATTAACCATTTTAATAGGAAAGAGGGGAAGGGTCCAAGGTCTCACACCACAAGAATAGAAGATAGGATTAAGACCCTTAACATTTTTGAAGGGCCGGGTGTGGTGGCTCATGCCTGTAATCCCAACACTTTAGGAGGCTGAGGCGGGTGGATCGTTTGAGCTCAGGAGTTCAAGACCAGCCTGAGCAAGAGCGAGACTCCATCTCTACTAAAAAAATAGAAATTAGCTGGACAACTAAAAATAAAATATATATATATACATATATATATCTACCCAGGCATGGTGGTGCATGCCTGTAGTCTCAGCAAGCAACTCGGGAGGCTGAGGCAGGAGGATCACTTGAGCCCGGGAGTTTGAGGTTGCTGTGAGCTAGGCTGACACCATGGTACTCTAGCCCAGGCAACAGAGTGAGACTCTGTCTCAAAAAAAAAAAAAAATCTCTAGATCGAGTTGCTAAAATAAAAAAAAGAAATTTTGAAGGAAACGAGGCTGAAAAAGTTAATTTACATGAAGGCATAGGTGATGTGATCAGATTCCTTTCTTTTGTCCCAATTGAAAGGTACTCGTTACTTTTCTCAAATCAAAGAGAGATTCCCATGTGATGGTAAAGATAATCCAAGTTCAGTTTCACTGACTAGTTGTGTGGCTTTGGGCAAGATCCTTAGCCTTCTTGGGCCTCATCTTCCTTATTTCTGAAATAGAAATGCTAGACCTGTCTTTTGATGTAGTTGTGAGAGTTAAATGAGATAACCTTTGAAAAGCCTCTAGTATGTAGTAGTCACACAAGAAAAACTTATACTGGAAGAGATACACCCTGAGCTCAAAGCTGTTAGCCTTAGAATAAGTCTCCACATTCAGAAGCTATTGGCCCTTGTAGCACCTGATGGGGTCATACTTGGCACCCATTCCCCTCACCTCCCAGGTGCACTTGCCTCCACCTGACTCTTAAAAACAAGTAACTTTGTCTCAACAAGGCCTCCCCTTCATCCCATTCACAGCCACAGGGACATCTGTGAAACACAATTTATTATACAAAACAAGGTGCATCAAAAATTCAGTGTCATAAGAGTTCTGTATTCCAAGGGATGGGGGCTGGACCTTCTTCCTTCAAACCTCTTCACCCAACCCTTGCTAAGGATTCAGGCTGGGCACACAGGCTTTCAGTCTCCAAAGACCCCTAACCCTGACGCAGGAGGGTGAGAACCAGATATAGGTGCCTAAGTGTAGGGCTAGGGCAGTGGGTCAGGCACCACCCCTCCTGTGTGTGGCCACAAGTCACTAACAGTGGGGTGTAGGCTCAAATCTCCGAAAACATGGAGGCTTCTTCTAGGAAAAACTGGATGTATGCCAAAGGGTAGAAACACCCAACTCCCTCTACACCATCTAAAGCAAGAATGTGGAACCCATCATCTGGGGACAGGGAAAAGCTTCCCAAAAAATGCCAACCATAGGGGGCCTGTAATCCTAGCACTCTGGGAGGCCGAGGCAGGAGGATCGCTCAAGGTCAGGAGTTCAAAACCAGCCTGAGCAAGAGCGAGACCCCGTCTCTACTAAAAAAATAGAAAGAAATTAATTGGCTAACTAAAAATAGAAATAATTAGCTGGGCATAGTGGCGCATGCCTGTAGTCCCAGCTACTTGGGAGGTTGAGGCAGGAGGATCGCTTGTGCCCAGGGTTTTGAGGTTGCTGTGAGCTAGGCTGAAGCCATGGCACTGTAGCCTGGGCAACAAAGCGAGATTCTGTCTCAAAAAAAAAATGCCAACCATAAAATAGATTCTACGAAAATAAAGCAAGAGTTGACTACCTTTTGGGGCAGCTGTGTGGGCATGTAACCTTCTGACCATTCCGTATAGGAATGGAAAAGGTGCCTGAGGGTCAGCACCAAAGGTCCCACCAGGGTCTCCCTGCCAACCCTCCATCTACCACATGATCCTTGGATTGAGGACCTTCTACCTCCTCCCTTGTTTCTCCCAGCCCAGGCATAGAGCTTATAAAACCCATGGGACAGGCTGACAGGGAAAATTCCTGGGAATGTGGGAGCTGCCCCAAGGACCCTACAGGCAGGAAACTGGTTTCTACCTGAGTGGCCACAGGAAGTGGCTCAAGCCAGGGGCAGGGAATGAGGTCTGTAGACCTTGGGGCCTCTGGTGGACCCGGGAGGCAGTGCTTGCAGCAGTTTAACACCAGCCTCACACAGCCTGCAGCTCCCCCTGCAGGCGACTCAGCTCCTCAAGCTCCTGCTTGTGGCGGTCTGTCTTGTGTGCCACCAAGGAGCGGTAGAAATGCAGGGCAAAGGCCACAAACACGAGCCCCACAGGTACCATGATTGCTGTGGAGGCCATGGCTGCTTGCCAGCCTGGCCCATGGGCCCCACCACCACCACATGCCTGCCGGGGTGGGCAGGCCTCAGATGGCTCAGCCTGTGACGGGGCTGCAGAAGCAGAGGATGGTGGGAGGTTGGAAGCTGGACTAAGGGAGGTGGCCACTGGTGGCAGAGTCCCAGGCACCGGGGATGCAGGTACCCCAGGGACTGGTGTGTCCAAGGGGGCCCCAATGGGCACAAACTTGACCCAGCCAACCAGGACAACTTCAGCGAGAAAGAGAAAGGTGCCCAAGGCAGTGGAGAAGCCCCAGGCCAGCTCCACGTAGCGGTGGAGTCTCTGGTGTGGTGACTGGTGGACAGAGTTGAGGTTGTGGATGTTGCTCACGGCTTCAATGTGGGGCAGCAGACACGTGGAGACCATGAGTGCAAAGAGGTGCACAGCCACTAGCACAGTGGTGCAGGCACTAAAGGCCACTAGCAAGCCCGGCGGGTATTCGTGGTTGCTCTCCAGCTGTACCTCCACCATGGCCACCTGTGGGGACAAGAGGGGATGGATTGAGTGCCCATAACCTGCTGAGGAGTAGAGGTTTTTTTGCCTGTTGATATACATCCCTAGGACCTGGAACAGTGCCTGGCAGAAAGAAGGCACTCAGCCTTGGTTGAATAAATGAATGGGCAGCCTTGGCAAAGCTCTGTCCTATTCCGGCCTTGGTTTCCCTACCTGGCTATCAAGAGGGCTGGATGAAATGTATGAGTTTTACCTTGTTGGAGCACAGGAGCTGGTAAGCACAGATTCCAGAGCTATGCTGTCAAGCAATTTATGTACTTCTTTTTAAAATTTTTTTGTAAAGCCAGTCAAATTTAGCTGTGGAAGTTACTTACTTCTCTCTGTGCCTCATTTCCTGTCTGGAAATGGGGATTGATAATAGCACCCACCTGCCTTATGGAGTTGTGGAAATTTTTTTTTTTTTTTTTGAGACAGAGTCTTGCTCTGTCACCCTAGGTAGAGTGCAGTGGCATCATCATAGTTCACTGCAAACTCCAACTCCTGGGCTCAAGGGATCCTCCTGCTTCAGCCTTCTGAGTAGCCGGGACTGCAGGCACACGCCATGATACCCTGCAATTTTTTTTTTTTTTTTTAAGTAGGGACAAGGTCTTGCTCTTGCTCAGGTTGGTCTCAGATTCCTGAGCTTAAGTGATCCTCCTGCTTTGTCCTCCCAGAGTGTTAGGTTTACAGGCGTGAGCCACCATGACCAGCCATGGGTTGTTGTAGAAATTAAATGAGATAGTACACATGAAGTGCTAAGAACAGTGCTAGGCACATAGTAAGAACTAGGTAAGTGTTTGCTGTTTATTATTATAGTTAATGCTAAAGCCTGAGGCCAGAGTTTGCAAATTGGCACAACGTAAACCACAGCCAGCTTGCAGACATGTTTTGCTTGGCTCACAGTGTTTTTTTGTTTTGTTTTGTTTGAGACAGAATCTCACTCTGTTGCCTGGGCTAGAGTGCCATGGGGTCAGCCTGGCTCACAGCAACCTCACACTCCTGGGCTCCAGCAATCCTCCTGCCTCAGCCTCCTCAGTAGCTGGGACTACAGGCATGTGCCACCACACCTAGCTATTTTTTTCTATTTTTAGTAAAGACAGAGTCTCACTCTTGTTCAGGCTGGTCCCGAACTCCTGACCCCAAGTGATCCTCCCACCTCGGCCTCCCAGAGTGCTAGGATTACAGGCATGAGCCACATGTGTTGTTTAAAAAAACTGAACATGGAAGCCACTGGATATGCTAGTGGAAAAGAAAAAGAAAAAAAAAGTATTCAATTTTATAAAATTAAAAATAACAAAAAGAAAAAAAAACTGAACAAGTTTCTATCTTTTAAAACAAGACAATTCACATATCCCTATTTTCAGATCCTTTTGAAAACTTGGAAGATCTGGTCACACTAGGCCAACATTCCTACATGACAATTGTCAGCTAGAGTTGAGTCATGGTTGCTTCCTTTGGACAGGTCATGGGGTCACTTGATCGCCAGTCCCACCCAGCCAACTTGGCATCCATATGACTTGCCTGGCATTTGCAGACATTTGAGCTGACGATCCTCTTCTAGGAATATATAAATTTGGACTCTAGAACCAGAGACTGCTTAAGTTCAAACCCTGCCACTTAATTGCTTTGGGATCTTGGGCAGGTGTCTTAACATCTCTGATTCTCAGTTTTCTCATCTGTAAAATGACCATAGCAATGGTATCTACTTCATAGAGTGATAGAAAGATGGTGCCACATAAAGGCCCTGAGCACAGGGCCTGGTACTTAGTGACAGCTGAATACAATTTGTGTAATATTATTATAACTCTAACCATCTGGGTTTCAGAATCTGAAGGTTTCCCCATCCCTGGTTCTTATGGGATCCATTAGATTGCTCTGGGGCTGGGGAAAGGAGAAGGAAGTTGCAGAGCCTGGCCAGTGGAGGTAGGAAAACAAGGCTGAGTATTTTGGGAAATTGGGCCATGGCAGGTGTCAGCAGGTGTTTTCCACACAAAGGGATCTGGGCCAGGCTTAGTCCTGGTTTCTCCCAGAGCCTGGCCCAGCCTTGCTCTCCCCTGCTAGGGCCAGGGCCAGTCCTGTCCCTAGAACCTAGCCTTCCAGCCTCTTGATCCAGCAGAGAAGGCCCTAGCCCTTAAGCTGTCGCCCTAGCAACCTGCAAGTCCAGCAGTGACTGGATTGTCTCCTTGGGAACAGGCTGGACCATGGGGTTGACCTTCCTCAGCTAGGTCCATGGGTAACTGACCCCTTCCCTTTGTAGTCTGTACAGATGAAGGGGAGCCAACTCCCTGCCCCCAGATGACACTCTCCCCCCCCAGGAAGGGTAAGCTGGTCTGTGGATTCTGGAATCCCACGTAGAAAATCATAGGCTTAGGATGACCTGTAGGGTTAAAGACTTTCCCTGTCATCTTTCATATACAAAGGCTGTGGCACAGAAAGGGGCAGGGACTAACCAGATCACCTGTTGTACCATGACTCCCACCTTCAGCTGCCTCTACGATATCTGCCCCTACAGGAGCATGTTCCCAAAAGTGCCCCCTTCAGCCTTTCTCCTTCTTCCTGTGACGATGGTGGGGAAACCCTGGACTTAATAGTCCAGTGACCCTGGGTCCTAGTTCATTCTATATCCTTCCTCTGCTGAGTGCCCTTGGGAGAGATACTACCCTAGAGGCGTGGCCTTGGTTTCCACACCTGTCCAATCAGCAGGCTAGTTGGAGCCATTGCTCATGTGTGTCTTGCTCCGATATGCTTGGATTTGGGGTTCCTGATGACAAGAATCACAGCTCATCCTGGGGCGGGTACTTGGCAGCATACAAAGAGTACACCCTCCATGATCTCACAATTTCCCACTGGCCTGCCTGTGAGGGGGTGGAGGCCTGTCCAGGGTCGCACAGCTGGCCATAAGCAGGGAGGAACCAGATCTATGCCTGTTGATTCCTCACCCTGGGACTTCCCTCAGTCCCACTTCCTGTGATACCACTGCTGGGACCGTTAACTGTTGTCATCCTCCCACGCCTGCAGCTTATCAACTTGAGAATCACTTATCAGCTTCCTTCCCCAGCGGCTCCCTCACAGGCACATCTCTTCTCAAAGTTCTCCTGGGTGACACTAGCACCCTTCATGCCTGCTGGGAAGTAGCCACCTTCCTTGGGATGGGCCCACCTTTCATCCAGTTTATTCTCCCTGACTGCACCACCTGCTTTGATACAGCCCCCACCCAGCTGATTTGCCTTCGAACCTCTGGGCCATCCTGCCAGAAGTATGCTCCTTTGGGACCACTTTGTCCCACGGTTGCATACTCATCCCCATTGGTGATTTGTTTACCCTTTCACTCATGACACCTTTGGGATTTGTTTCTTCTCTCCATCGCCCTGTGTATATTCACAGGGCCATGTTTATACACCACCCCCCCCCTGTAAAAATGGACTTCTTCAGTCCCTTGAGACCTTGTTTCCTGCCCTCCAAAACCATCTTTCCTTTCCTCTGCCCTCTTTGGGACCTGGTCACTTCACGCACAACCCCGTGCCCCCCACGTGCTTCCCCCCCCACCCTGTGTGCCCCCTTCCCGCCCCTCACCATGGCGAAGCCAGAGAGCAGCGCAGACGTGCGGCTGGAGGCTTTGAGCTTGGCCCGGCTGAGGTAGAGGCGGCGCCAGCTGAGCGCCCGCAGCGAGTGCTGACTGGCCCCCATGAGGTCCAGGTAGCCGCGGTGCACGAACTCGCGGTACGTGGCCGAGCCCGCGGGGCTCTCGGCCTCCGGGTTCAGCGGGGCCTGTTCGCCCGCGTCCCCCTCGCTGCCCTTCATCCTGGAGACCGCAGCACCAGGAAGGCCGGCTGGTCACCGCGGGGCCGAGTCACCTCGGGGGCCCCAGATGGGCCGGCCCAAGCCGGGGGAAGGCCCCATGCCCCGGCGGGGTGAGCGCGGATGCGGGCCGCAGGCGCCCTGGAAGAGCAGGCGTCTGCGGGAAGACCCAGGGGCTGAAGAGGGACAGCAGAGGCCGAAACAGGAACTGGGGCAGAGGCGGAGCCGGAGCAGCCACATGATGGGGTGGAGCCGGGGGACCAAGCCCCCCGCAGTGCCCGGCCCGCAGGCTGAGAACCCGAGGGAACTCACGACCCCAGTCCATCAAGAACACCATCCAGGTGTCCAACCTGTGACTGGGAGTCCCCAGACCACTCCCAGATGTCTAGACTTCCAAATGCCTCCCAAAATAGCGAACTCAGGAAAAGTGAGCCCATTCATTTCCAAGGACCACCAGGCCCCCGCGGATCTCTTCAAAGAGTCCCCTCCTCCGAGAGCCCCAAGGAGTGAGCCCAGCGGCCATCCTTGCCTTAACCCACGTCCCTGGGAACCCAGACGCCGCAGAAAGACACACGCACTCCGCCGCCCCGGCTGGAAGATTTTGAGTTTTATAGCAAACCGTATTGTACAGACCCGGGGCCCAGGGGCCCAGCCCGGCTGGGTCCCCCACCTGCCCCTCGCCGGGCTGCCTCCTCCCCTCCCCAAGACGCCCCAACCTCAAGCCTTTCACGATCCCCAGGCGCCCCTCCTCTCCGGCCTTTGGTCCGCCCAGTCCCTCCCCCCACCCGCGCACCTCCCTGTTACCTGAGGTATGTGGATAGATCCCCCCTTCCCTACATGGTACAACCCGGCTCCCCCGGGAGGCCCGGGGCGAGGGGTGGGACCTGGCCCCGACTCCTCCCTCTGGTCCTGAAGCCCCGCCCCCACACCAGAGGAAGGGGCGGAAGGCCAAGACAGTCTGTTACTCAGTTCCCATGGCAACTAAGAGGGGCGATTTCCAGCCTTAGCACTGGCATCAGGAGGTGTCCATTGGCTGCTATTTCCATGGCAACCAGGAGTGGCAGTTCCCTGGGCAAATGGGATACAAATTTCCATGACGATGGAAGAGTGGGAAGAGCCAAGCTGGAGGAGTCCCATCTTCCCCATCATTGGGCTGGCACCCCCGCCCCCAACTCAGGTCAGGAGGGGTGGAGCTGCTCGATACAGTAAAGCAAGAGAGCCAGCGGGTGGCGCAGTCCAAACTGGGTGCCCACCCATCCAGTCTCAGTCCAAGCTGGTCCTGTCCCCTCACACTCCGGCTCCCCCAGGTCCGAGGTTCCCCCGGTTCAAGTAACACTTCAGTACAGATGAATGTTCAAGTATTGTGCGGAGAGGCAGGCAGGGGCCTGGGGTACCCCTCACCACTCCCCTGGGCCACGAGCGGAACAGCGGGTAGGCCCGTGGCCCCCACTCCTTGCAATAGCTGCCATTTTCAGTGACGTTCAAGGAGTCAGGGTCAGGGGGAAGGAACTGAAATCTGGGGAGGAGGAAAGGAGAGGGGTGACCCCTCAGAGGGGGTACGACTGCCCCACACCTGCTCTTGTCCCCCACCCCGCACTCAGCCCTGGCTTTCCCCTGGCTCCTCAGTCTCCCTACCTCTGTCTGACACCTGGATCCCCAACTGCTCTTCTGGTTTCCCTTTTTGGCCCCCCACCCCACCCCCCACTCCAAGTATCTGGTCTTTGTTCCCTGAACCCTTGGTGGTCTGCTTTCTGCCCCCTCCCCCCACCCATCCTCCACCTCCCCCAGCCCCAGCTCCCAGTATCCTGTGTGCAGATACTCTTTCCCCATTCTCCCTCCCTCAGACTTGCACATTAACCCCCCTCCCACCATCCCTTTGGCTCAGCACCCCCCAGTACCTCTGACTCACTCCCCCCAGGGGATGGACAATGAAGCAGGTGGAAGGAGGAGGAGATGGGAAGGAGAAACCCCCAGAGATATCAGTGCAGGGGGACGAGAAGGGGGCGGCTGGCTTGAGTCCCTGGGCAGGAATCCCAAGTCATTAAACTCAGGAATCCCAAGTCATGAGGTGGGTAACCTGGCCTCCCAGCAAGGGTGAAATGAAGGCCGGAGGTCTAGGCTCCTGATAAGTCCTGGGGGAGGGTGGGGGGCGCCCCACTAGCTGTCCTTGAGAAGTAGCTTCTCCTCTGGGCAGCGGAAGGGGCCAGGGGGCCCGGCGGCTGCCAGCCGGGCACAAGCTTCAGGTGAGAGCTGGCGGCAGGAGCGCAGGTCTAGGCGGCGTAGCCTTGGGCAGCGGCGGAACAGCGGGAGGCAGTGGTCCGTGAGGCGGTGGCAACCTGGGGATGGGGCAGTGGCAGCTGAGACCAGGCACATGAATGGGGGTAGGCACTCACCATGGGGATGGACCAACAGGCTAGCAGGACGCAGAGGGGACTGTGCTTACCAGCAAGATTCAGGTGTACCAGCGTCTCCCGGAGTGGAGATGTGGGGGCTGTGAGGAGGTGAACACTGGGGTCCCCGACGTGGGCGCAGTGGCTCAGGTCCAAGGCGCTTAGCTGCGGTGCGTGGCGCAGTAGGAGCCGCAGGGAGGCATCTGTGAGCTCCAGGCCTGCCAGACGCAGTTCTGCCACCCCCTGCAGCCGCCCACGGCTCTCTGTTTGCCCTGGGCAGACATATAAGAGGTCAGCATTCCTGGCTACCCTCATCCCTGCACCCAGGCACCCAGACCAGCTGCGTCTCCATGCCCATATTCCTCACCATCTGCCCCAACTTGCTCCCACCGTAAGGGAGCCCTGACTTGCTGCACTCTCTGCCAACACCTTCTTGACCCGACCTCACCTTGTCTATTGCTCACATCACCTCCTCAGTGAGGCCTTCCATGATTACTCTATGTGATACTACATAACATGCCACACACTCATACCTCTTCCCTGCACTATTTTTCCCCTTTTCTCACCATTTTACTTATTATATACATTTTTTTCTTATTAATCTTTCTCTTCCCCCATAAGAATGTCAGTTCCATGAAGGCAGGAATTTTTGTCTGTGTTGTTTACTGTTCTAGCCTCAGCAACCAAGACACAGTAGGTGCTTGAGATATACTCATTCATTCATCCAAAGCATGACACCTCTAAGGAACTACCATCCTAGGCTCTTCTCCTACTTCCCTTTCCTCCACAATTAGTAAATCCCTAGCTGGAGCTTCTCCATTCTTCCCAGTCACCATTCTGGGTCAACACCACTCTTGTATGAACTCCTGACTCAACCACCTCACTCACTCCAATTTCTCCTCTTCTTCCTGGCACCCACAGAGAGCCATGCTTAAACACAAATGAGACAACATCCGTCCTCTGCTAAGAACTCTCTGAGGGCACCTCAAAGAAGTTCAGTGTCCTTGGTAGAACATTCTAATTCTTACAAAGTTTCAGCTTCTAACTCCTCTCCCCTACTTCCAAACACTACCTAGGCCAAATTCTGGAAGTGGCCTTGCCTGAGAAACTCTGCCTGGCCAGTGTCCCTGGCTTTCAGATCTGAGCTCAGAGGACTCCTCTTCCCCCACCTCCAAGGTCAAAGAGCTCACTCCCCCTCCTCTTTGCAACCAGAGCACAAGGTCTGCCTTTCTTTTATGCCACTGGCTCTCAAACTAGAGAAATTTCAGAATCCCCTGGAAAGCTGGTTAAAAGGGATTGCTGGCCCCACCCCCAAAGTTTAGGTAGGTGTACAGTGGGGGCCTCAGAATTTACTTTTCTATTAAGTTCTCCAGTGATGTTGACACTGCTAGTCTGGAGACCACACTTTGAGAACCACAACTTTCTCTGATCATAATTCCTGTTTACAGATGAGAAGATTGAGGCCCAAAGCAATCTGTTCAAGATTACGTAATTATGAAGTAACAGAGCCAGGAAACTCAGGTCTGGTGACTCTGAGTCCAAACTCTTACCACAATGCTATCTGCCTCCCAGGCACCAGCCTAGCCCTGAGATAAACTAGATCAAATGTCACTAACTCATGAAACTAGCCTCCGAAAGTGTTTTATGGGGTCTGCATAGTACTAAAAATTTTCATTAATTGATGACACTACAAAAAGGATACTTTAAAAGAAATTTGGATACCAAGCTTTTCCTTAAAAAGTTACAAGATCTGGCAACACTGGACTACACCTTCCCCCCGACAATGATTGGCAGGAGAGCTGGGCTGCTAGGTGCCGTTCCCTAACAGCCTGCACCAGTGCATCACTTCTACTGCCACCTCTGTGGGCACTCAATTTAGCATGCCCTGAATTCTACCCCCTCCTCCTGTCTTTGAGGGGCTGAGAGCCTGGAGAGGGGTTACAAGGAGATATCCTCAACCTTGGGCCATAGCTAAAGGCCATGAGAGCAAAGCACAGGTAAGAGAGGTCACTTCTGGCTTGGGTGGGGAAGTGCATTAGTGCGCATGTCACTGAGATAGTGGCATTTAGGCTGGGCCTTCAAGGGTTTGAATATGTAGCAAGGTGGGAGAAGAGCACACCAGGCAGAGGACAAAAGCAAAGAAGTAGAAGAACTTAAACTTTGCTTTGGGAACACTGCATGAAGCCAGGGAACAAAAGCAGGAAAGGTGGGTGTAAAGTCCTAACGTGCACAACAGGCCTTGAAGGCCAGGAAGGCTCATCTTTGCAAGCCCCTGAGAAAGGGCCTGAACTAAAATGAATGCAGGCAGGCAGATGGGGTCACTTGGCTAGCACTTTCTCAACTCATGGCATGCACCATTCCCAGTGCCACATCACCCCACCCAAAGCTTTCCAGCTCAGTCTCATTCCAGCAAGAGTGCACGATGGGCAAGTCCTCTGGCCTGGCTGTGCCTGTGTGACTTGCAGCAGTCACTCAGCCCGCTCTGGGCCCTAGTGCCTCATCCAGAAAATGGGAAGAATCCTTGTTGCTTCTTTACTACCTCTTCAGGGCTGCTGTGAAGCGGGGTGGGCAGGAAGAAGGGCGCCTCGAAAGACAACTGTGAAAGAACTCTGAAAGGGAAGGCTCTTTTACTCTTACTTCAGAGCCCAGCAAATCTCCTTCTGGAAATCTTTCCTCAACTACATCTCTCCTTTCCACCTTGATTGTTTTGCTCATTGAATTTATGCAATGAACGGATATTTACTGAGCATATCACCAACCATAGTGCTGGGTGAGCAGACAGTCCTTGCCCTCGGGGAGCCTAAGATCCCTAATGAGAGGGAACAGATCTTAATCCAAGTCCTTCACAGTTATACAGTATTATGCTGGGAGGGCACTATGCTCAAAGCTGAAAGGGACTCAGCTTAATGGAGAGGAGAATCAGGGAGGGCTTCTAGGAGGAAGCAGCATTTCCACTGAGGCCAGACGTATGATTTTTTGAGACAGAGTCTCACTTTGTTGCCCAGGCTAGAGTGAGTGCCGTGGCATCAGCCTAGCTCACAGCAACCTCAAACTCCTGGGCTCAAGCGATCCTACTGCCTCAGCCTCCCGAGTAGCTGGAACTACAGGCAT